TCTGTCTCAAAAAAAAAAAAAAAAAAGTTTAAACAAAAAAAAATAGGAACAGTAAGTCAGTCAAACAGGCCAAACCAGAAATAGGGAATAAAGATAATAATCTTTTAAAAAAACCCAAGACGAGTGTGGTGCCTGTGGCTCAAAGGAGTACGGTGCCAGTCACATATGCTGGAGGTGGCGGGTTCAAACCCAGTAGCGACCAAAAACTACAAAAAAATAAAGAAACAAAAACAAACAAACAAATAAAAAAAAAAACCCGAGGACGTAATCAGGCACTATAGAAAAAGTTAATAATTATTTATTTTTAATATATATTTAACTTGCCTACATGTTGTTAATCAAATAAGTATATTTTAAGTATGCTTTTGAAATTATCCCCTATATAAATTATTAAAATTTCCTACATAGACAAAACAACATTTAAAAAATTACCCTCGCTGTTCTCAGGAATCTCTGGCTTTTGGATAATAAACTTTTAACAAATGAATCATCTCCCTGCCTCCGTGTTTAACTAGGACGACAGGCAACGGAGCCACTTTCCGTTCAGCAACACCGTGAGCCACCGAGCCCGGCCCTAAGTTTACCTTTAAAAGAAGAATGGAGGGAGAGGGGGCCCCACGGACTACACTCCCTCCCATGAATAAGCCACCCAGCTGGGATTCCTCGCAGAAGACGTTTCCATTGTCAACACCTGGGAGGGACGCAGGTTGCTGCAGGCACACAGTGAAAGGCCCAAAGGACCCCAGTTTGCACTCTCTTTTTCCCCCTCCGCTTCAGCACCTAGACCTTGCAGAAATGGGAGGTTAAACAAACCTATCTGGCAGAGACAGGGGATTAGCCCAGAGTTGAAGCAGACCCTAGGAAAACCGCATTTCTATCCTCAGTTCCCCTGGTAACTAACCAACCCCCAACCCTGTAGAATCCTGCAAAGCCTCCTTTCACCTAAAGGATTCCATTCTTCTCGCCCGCCCCAACTGAAAGGCAAACAACTCCTTTCCTTTGTCATGCGGGTGCTAAGACATTTTAGGTGTGAAAACCCTTCTCGGTGGGCTAGCCCATAAAGGACCCCATAGCTAATTGGAACTCAGAGTGCTGGCGTTTTCTCCTTAATTCCACTGACGTCAGGTACGAAAACAGCAGCCGAAAGTTTATGTTTAACAGTTTAGGTTTAAAAGGATAATGCAGGGACTGGGGCCCCACCGACTACAGCCCCTCCCATGAACAAGCCCCACCGACTCAAACTGGGATTCTTCCCTGAAGACCCTTCCATTGGCGCCACGTGGGACAGTCTCAAAGCAGCTCAGAGAGCTTTGGGCCAGGGTCCAAGTAACCACTCTAGGAAGAGGATGGAGCAACTGAGTCCCAGCTGCCTGCCCCACTCCATCCTTTGCTCACAGGAGTCTGAGGGCCATGGGGGACCAGTGGCAAACATCACTCTGAACAGGTAAAACTGAAGTGAAATTGCCCAGTCCCGCCACAGCCACTTTCGACTCCAACTACGCCCCTGCCCCTCTCAGGACACCCAGTCTCCTAGACTCACCATTTCCCGGCTTCAGGGATGCCCCGGCGTCCTCCCTACAGATCTCCCAGTACCTGCAGGTCACACGGTGACAGAGGGTGTTGCACAGACAGCTGGATGCTCCTGGAGTAGCAAAGGTTGAAGAGGAGACCTGAGCGCCCAGCTCAACAGACACGCGAGACTCGGGATCCCAGGAACTGCCTCCTGCCTTCCGGCTGTGCATCTCATTGGACAGTTCATATCGGAGCATCTCTGATTGGATAAGGCCTCAGGCCCCACCTCTCTGTCCTTGAGTGACAGCACTGCCATGGGACAAAAGTGTGAATGAGGCCAGAATGCTAACAGTTGCTTTTTGTTGTTTGTTTGTTTGTTTGTTTTAGACACAGTCTCAAGCTGTCGCCCTGGGTAGAGTCCTGGACCATCACAGCTCACAGCAACTTCAAACTCCTGGGCTTAAGCGATTCTCTTGCCTCAGTCTCCCAGGAGCTGAGACTTTAGGCGCCCTCCACAACACTCAGCTATTTTTTTTGTTGCAGTTGTCATTGTGGTTTAGCCGGCTCAGGCAGGGTTCAAAACCACCAGCCTTGGTGTATGTGGCTGGCATCATAACTAACCACTATGTTACAGTGGCCAAGCCTCTTTAGGAGCTTTAATGCTTAAACCAAAAACCTTGCAGGCTGTGTATTCATAGTCACTAGTCCGTGGTCCATCTCTGGCAGGGCAAGAATTTGTTCCTTAAGCTGGACATAGGTGGAAGCCCAAATTCTTCCTAGCAAAGTCCTCAGAGTGTAGAAGGGCTCCCCTTATAGTGCTTGCTGTGCAATGACTCCCCAAACCAGAGGCAAGAATGCAAGAAGAGTCTGTAATGAGCTGCCCTGAGCCAGGCCCATTTAAGCCACACGCCAGTGTTATCTCTGTTAATTCTCACACATACCCCACGAGTAGGCATCCCCTACTTGTGAGGAGGAATCCTGAGGCTGACTAATCGTCCATCATAAAGTTCACAAGTCCATCAAAGCTGGGATGAAAATCCAGGTCTTCTCAGGCCAGGCACAGTGGATCACACGTGTAATCCCAGCACTTGGGAGGCCCAGGTGGTGGACTGCCTAAGAAAGAGCAAGAGCATGTCTCTAAAATAAAAAATTACTGGGTGTTGTGGGGGCACCTGTAGTCCCAGCTATTTGGGAGGCTGAGGCAAGAGAATCACTTAAGTCCAAGAGCTTGAGATTGCTGTGAGCTATGACGCCATGGCACTCTACTAAAGGCAACAAAGCAAGACTGTCTCAAAATGAAAAAAAGAAAGAAAGAAAGAAAGAAAATCCAGGCTTTCTTCTCCATCTGGTTCAGCCTTAACTTCCCAGAATTAGTTCTGTCTTAATATCATGTCCTGTGCTTTGTCCTGACCCTATGACAGAAGGGGTCAGTAGCAGGACTCTGTTCTGTAAGGATGGGTAAGGATCCTGGCAAGGTATTTCCTCTGAAACAGCAAATATAACCTTAGAAGTCACTGTTCTAGAAGTCACTATTCGGTCACTCTCCGCTGAATAGTTTCCCAAGGAAATGGTGAGGTAGAGCAGTCTGCAACAAAGCCCCCCTTCTGATGCTCTGTGGAGTGAGACACCACAAAAGGGCAACACTCAAAGGGTGGTGAAAAAAGCAGGGATCAGGAGGGCAAACTGGAGTAGTGTTAAAACTGCCACAGCAGGGTGCTAGACAGTCAACAGATCAGAGAGCATGTTTCCCAGCCACCAGGAGGCCCAAGAGCACCTTGTGGCTCTAGTCCAGGAGGTGTCTTGTCATCTGCTTACCCAAGAATGACCTGGAGACCTTGAACATGTCCTAGGCCTGGCCCCAGAGGTTCTCATTTTGATAGTAAGGACAGCATCCCCAACGTATTCAGTCTCTCCTTGGCCACTGCCTCCCAGTCCTTGTTGGCCTGTGGGTTATGGGGAGAGAGGTGCACCAGTCCCTCCACCTGGACATGTGGCATTAGCCCTGAGAGAGCCCACCATGCCCGCTGCTCAGCCAGTCGCCCCACTCCCATCACCAGCCACACCCCCAGCAGCTGCACCTGCCAGCAAAGAGCCACATCACAGATCCCAAAAAGCTGTTCTGGTTGCTTGACAGGCAGCTTGACAGGGGTGAAGTTGCATCCTCTGGGAGTCAGGAAGAGCAGTGTACACAGATTGTGGACAAAGCAGTGATAGGAAAAAAACCTCGGGCTGTCCACAGAGATTCTGGAAAAGCTCCAGAATCGGGCAAGACTCACTTCTGACTGTGGACACTCCAGTCCCAGCGCTGGTTGTTTAGGGTGCTCTTGGGGAGGAGTCAGCACAGGCCCCCCAATGTCCAACCAGTCGCGGACCATGCTCACTTCCCCAAAGGGCACCCCAGTCTGGGCCAAGTCAAAAGATGCTGGGTTCATCCCCAGGAAGAGCACTTGGCAGTAGTGAGTCACACAACTGTGATGTGGCTCCCACACATACTCCACAGGATTGTACATGATGCCACCTGGCTCTGAAAACTGCAGCTGGGGAGGCACTGTGGCTCAAAGGAGTAGGGCGCTGGCCCCATATGCTGGAGATGGTGGATTCAAACCCAGTCCTGGCCAAAACTGAAAAAAAAAAAAAGAAAAAGAAAACTGCAGCTGGCTCAGCTCAGAGTTGAGCCGAAGCTCCTCCTCCAAGAAGCCCTCAGCACAAGCTTTGAGGGCAGGCTGAGGGCTCCTTCAAGGCACTACTAGTATAGGGCGACCAGATTTTAACATCCGTATGGCTGAACAACATGGGGGAGGGGGGCGGAGCGGGGGCGGGAGACGCAGCCGGGGACGGGGCAGGCAGGGCCTGACAACAATGCAAACTTTGATAAGCAGTTCTCCATAATCACTTCTCAGCAATTATTTATTACAGTTTAACATTATAAAATTAACAAAAATAATATAAAACTCATATTCTGGCGAAATAGCCATATGACGGCCAAAACTCGTATATTCCCTTCTTGTTCTCCAGCCCGTTCGTGCATTCTTTCCAAAGATCGGGACTTTTTAAAAACGCCACGGGACCCGGGCAAATTGTTGAAAAGCGGGACTGTCCCGCCAAAATCGGGACGTCTGGTCACCCTATACTAGTAGCTCACAGAGGGCCACCACTAGGAAAACCTGGGGCACAGCCATGTGTTGTCACCTGGTCCAGCTCTCCATCTTGCTTGTGCTAACAGTTTCTTGACCACCACACTTTTTATTTTTCCTTTTCCTTTTATTGATTAAGGGCAGGGACGGTGACTTTATTCATCTCGATATTCCAGGGCCACTGGATATACTCTTGCCAAAGAGTACCTGTTTCACAAATGTTGACTAAAGGAATGAAAGTCTGTTCACTGAGTGTTCAGTTGTGCGAGGCTTGGGCACCTATTTAAACAGGAGTTAGACGCTGCTTTGAAGGCATTTTGAACGCACATCATGAAGTCTAGCTAAAAACATGCACAGAAATAACTCAGTTGCCTGATGCACAGATGAAGGACATTAGGAGTTACAAGCAAAGGCTATGGCAGTTCAGAGAAAGATGAAATTAGGTCAAATCTCTAGTCAGGGAGTTGGCATTGCAGGAGGCTTCATGCAGGGGGTTGTATTTAAGCTCCCAACTAACAGGCACGAGGTAGAGGTACATGGTACACCTCCTGGGTAAAAGGTTTCGTGACAATGGGGGCTTTACCTAACAAACTCTGTAGCTCTTTTTACACATGACCTCGTGTCTTTTCTGGGATGCAGCTCTGCCTGAGAAATATTTATACTTAGCCCTGGATATAAATTATATCATTTTACTAATTTTAACACTATATACATACATACGTGTTCATATATACAAACACAGTAAATACATGTTTTTCACTCATGGAAACAACATACTA